GGTGCTTCTATTTGCATTTTCAAAATGCTCTGGCTGAAGTTTGATTTCCTCTTTTACCCAGTGGGAGATTATTTTTTTTCCGTCTTTTGTTTTGCTTTGCTTTTCTTATCCTTTGTTACTAATGTTTAATTTTCTCATCACCTAAGACTAAGGAGAATTATTTTTAAAGTTCTTCTCTGCTTTCTGGAAGGTCTCGTTCATGTGGAGTCAGGAGTGGGAGGGAAGATTTGTTCTTATTCCCTAGATAAGTTTTATTGTTTTCAAGGACTGAAACGTTCCCATTCCATTCAGTAGTGTTTCTTCTTGTTAGCTCAGTATTTACTGGAAGTTGCTGTAAATTTGTCTGTAGATTTTGGTGAGAATCTGTCCAGATCTTTTATTCTGGACGAGTGTGGGAGAAGGAAGTTTGATGTTTTTGTTTTGGCTGAATTGAAACACAGTTGTCTGTTGGGGAAATGGCTACCAGAGAATGGAATCATTGGTGCTGCAGGAAAGTGCTGTGTTTTCTTTAAAGCTTACTTTCTGCACAGGGAACTATATTCAATATCTTGTAGTGACCGATAATGAAGAGGAATATATGTATGGATATGGATGACTGAAACATTATGCTGTACTTAGAAATTGACACAACATTGTAAACTGACGATATTAAAACAACAAACAAAAAAAGCTTGCTTTCTGTGTTTATGAAGGCAGTTTGCAGTTTTCACCTCACATAACTGGCACACCTGCCCTCGATAGGTGCCCTCTTGTGCCAGCCTGCCTGCTTTTTCCTTCCAAGCTGTCTCCAAGTGACGGCAGGAGGGGCTGTTCAGGTGTGATGTGGTCATTGCTGATCAAGGCCCGTGAGTCCCTGGCCAAGATTCTCCCTGGGCCTCCTGTCACCTCCAGCCCCCACTGTGCCGAGCGCGGGTGCGTCTTGGCCTTCTGCTGTATACCTGACCGAGGCGAGCTTTATCTTGTAATGAATTGAGTCACAGCCTCCCCTGGGATCTTCTTTCTCTCGTATTTTAGAGAATTTCTAATTTAAAATTGGGTGTAGAGTTCATTTTTCTCACGCAGGTGCAGATCACTCCCCGTTTAATGCTGCGTTGGTCATTTCTAGGTGGGCATCTGTGAGGGCGGGGAATTTGATGCCCCTGTGTTCCACCACTTTCCCCCTGGCCATGCAGCCACCCATCCCTGCCAATAGGTGACCAGTCCCCTCGGCCTGACCCAGATGGAAGGTGGCATTTTGATCAGATCACCTCCTCATGGTTAGCGCAATCGTCTTTAGCACCTGTCTTTAAGGGAGTGTGATCTTCTGCGTGGCAGGGGCGATGTTTTGAGGCTTTTACCTCCGTTCCCAATTGCAGACCTATCCCTTCGGAAGATACCGCACACAGTCAGCAGCCGCCTTGGCTCTGCTCTCTGCGTGATGACCAAGGGAGAGGATGAGGGACGGATGGAGGCCGTACGGAAGCGTTGCTCACGGGGGGCAGGGAGGTGCGGTGGTGGTGATTCCTTAGCTCCTAGGTCAGGGGAGGGTGAGATGGTCAGAAGGTCTTTGAGTATGTAGAGGAGTTCTATCTGATGGGAACCCAGGACCACCTCTGTTCAGTAAAAGCTCTGCCTCCGGTCTCCCCTGTGCATGTTGTGAGGCCACCTTGCTTTTGCATGGGTAACAGAGAACTTGAAACATTTCCGGCATTTTAAAGTGACTAACCTTGGCTTATTTGTGAAGATGGGCATTTCATTAATTTTAGAGTTTTTTTCTCCTTTTACTGCCCCTTCTGGCTATAGGAGCCTAACTATTGCGAAAGAGATAAAAGAAATATAAATAAAATGTGAATTTAGTCTCTACTATTACCTGCTTTCCCCCTTTTTGGGGGGAGTGGAATATACTAAGGTAAATGGAAATTGACTCTTTGGATAGGAATTTAAAAAGGTCTGTTATGGAATCTCTCATCCAGTATTTGCCTTTAAAAATAACCTTGTATTTCAGGATTACATGTCTAAAGTTATACATTGTATAAACTATATCTTTTACATATTAATTTATATATTGTATTAAGGCCTTTTCTTATAGGATTTAAATTGGATAGATCGAGAGAAAAATTTCTGTTGTATCCTTAATAATGCATGCATTTAGAACTATATCTTTATGTAGTGGTTTTGACCAGTTATTTTTGGTAGTAAAACTTATTTAGCAGACTTCTTTTCTTTTCTTTTTTCTTCTTTTTCCTTTGGTAGGGGGAAGTAATTAGCTTTACTCATATTTATTTATTCCTAGAGAAAATACTGGGGATTGAACCCAGGACCTTAGCATGTGCTCCACCACTTGAGCTATGCCCTCCCCCCCAGCAAATTTATTATTGATTCTTTCTTTTAAAATAAAGACAGTAGCTATTCTCAAATTTTTAAAGAAGTTTAATCCTACAGCAAAATTCTCTTACGCTATGACTTGAATTACTGCTCAGAAGTCATTGTTAAATTCCTTTTCTTGGGTTAAATGTGAGACAGACCACTTCTAATTATTGCAGTTTAATCTGTGGCTAATATCTTATTTTCAGGGAAAAAATGATAAGGCTTTGATTTCCCAGTTTACTAAATAAATTCTTGGTCAATTATTTGAAGAACCTTCTGAGATAAAAATCTTTTGACATTATTTTCCATGAATTTTGGTATTTTGGTGCCATCTTGTGGCGGGACCTGGTAGTAGCCACAGCACTCACACATTTTTAATCAGTGTCCTGGATGGGATAAGAGACTGGAAATACTTTCCAAAATGCAAATCACGTCCTACTGTAAGTCTACATTTGAAGTGTTGAGAATGACTTGTTATGTGGTGCATGGGAAGACAAAAGTAATAAGGAGTTTAATGTATGATTCTCGGGTTCTAAAGTTCTGTGTCGTGATATTTGCCCTCAGTTGCTGCTGTTCGAGCGCTCTTGGATGAGCAGGTGGAAGTCCTCCGTTCTGCACGAAGGGGAAGGGAACATCAGGAGTGTGAAGTGGAGAGGCCATCTGATCGCCTGGGCCAATAATATGGTAAAACCGCGCCTCCGTCTCCCTGGTGCTGGGTCAGAGCCGGGAGGGCGGGCGACCCGAGAGGGCCGTGACCCAGGGAGGAGCTGCCACCCCTGCCGCCGCCGTTTCTGAAGGATACATGTGGCGGTGGAGATCATACCCGGAAGGGGAGAGAAATGAGATTGCTTTGGGCTTTCATCAGAGAGTAATTGCTGACATCCTCTGGTCTCGATTTTAGAGTAAGAAACCCAAGGCATGGAGAACAGCCCAGAAAATGAAAAGGCATCTTAATAATTGAAAGGCTGCATGGGGAACGTGGTCTGAAAATACCATTTTCCTGTTAGCCAAGGGCAAGTGCCAGCTGATATGAAACAAGGGCAGGATATTGCTGCCTTTTCTTTTACTCCCAGGCCTTTCAAAAGGTGGATCCTCATTTTTGGTGCTTCACTTATTTCAGGTTGACTCAGTCTGAGTCACGGCCAAGTTGAAAGTTTAAAAATTTCCATTTGGACGTCTGGCCCCTCTTTTGGAATTTGGAGGTATCATTTAGCAAATCAGTTCTCTTCAGTTTTAAAGGCTAGAAACTTGCAGAATCTACTGTGCTAGTCAGGACTTTTCTTAACTTCTCCTGGGTCACAGTCAAGGTAAACAGACGTGTGGCCTCTTGCTTTATTTTCATTTCGCTGCTGGCTTGATGTTTCCATCTGAGTACTTTAAAATGTCAGGCGGAGTTTTTTTTTTTTTTTCCATAGTGACTTTTTGGATTCAAAGCTTTTCTGAACACCAAACCCCACAGTTGTGGTGGAACAACACGATTAGAAACGTCACTTGTCTGTCATTTTGGAAATGCAGCTGTTGATATCTGTATATTTCACATGTGTATTGGACTGGAGTCACCTGCGCCATCCACTCGTAAAGTCTCGTTTGCCTGGAAAGAAGGATGCAGGTTTTCTTTTGTTTTGGGTTTTCCCAGGTTCGTGTGGAGGAGGAACGTTTCCGTTGCGCAGGTCCCAACAGCACAGCTCCCAGCAGTGCTCAGTAAATACTGTCAGTGCTTTGCAGTGCTGGTATCACTGGAGGAAAGACTGGTGGTCGTTAATAAATTTCCTTTTACTGTCCTTCTCCCAAGTAGAGGATGCTAAATGCTGTCTTCTTTTCCAGGGTGTGAAGATTTTTGATATCACCTCCAAACAGAGAATCACCAACGTGCCCCGGGATGATATAAGTCTGCGCCCCGATATGTACCCCTGCAGCCTCTGCTGGAAGGACAGCGTGACCCTGATTATCGGCTGGGGGACGTCTGTCAAGGTGGCTTTGCTCGTCTTTTTCATAAGTCCATGCGGTTGTAGATCTACTGAAGGTGGTCCAGAGGAACATGAGTTCTCGAATGGTTTCTCGGAGCCAGAATATTTTCGCCTGTGTATTATCGTCCTGTGATAATCATTTAATATTCAAATTCTTTCATGGGTGTAACTTTTAAGATCTGCCCTTTTCCATGCCATGCAGATCACATCGTGAACGTTGTTGTGTCCAGAATGGTGCTGCCTTTTCTGTCTTTTCTTTCCCCTATAACCTCGTCGGCTTTAGCGATTTATAGGCGTGTGGTTAGTGTTGTGGTTCACCTGCGTCCCTTGCTTTCTTGTTCTGTCCATTTCCCTTAGCTTTGATCCCGAACTTCTTCATTAGACCTAATGGTGGAGAAAGAAGGTTGACACTAAGTCATCCTGCCTGCTTGCTAATTGTTTTGCAGAGTAGAGGACCAGACTTACTATCGATGATAAGATTTAGGGCTGTTGAATCGTGCATAATTATCTGCCTTTTATGTGCCTGGGTAAATGAAATGTAGCTGTTCTGCAAAAGGGGGCCCAAAGTTCATTCACCTTTATCTCATGCCTACTAGTGCCTGTCTGCATGAGATAATTCAGAGCCAAAAGTTGTTTGTGTCCCTTTAAAAAAATATATAGCTTCATCTAAACAAAGTCAGCTAAAACTTAGCTGAGCTAAAAACAGTGTGAGAAAGTATCCGAGCAATAGTCTCATGGAAGAGCTCAGGCTTTGGAGTCAGGCAGACCTGGGATCCATTCCAGCGTATCCACTTACTGCCTGTGTGACCCAGTCTGAGCCTTACTCTCCTCATCTGCAAAATGGGGATGCTGATTGTGTCATCACACGTCTTGGGGGGGATTAAATGAAAAGCATAGCATAGAATCTGACATATTGTGCTTAATAGCTATCAGCTGCCATTGTGCTGTAAAATTCTAGAAAAGTCATGAGCGAGATGTGGCCATTTAAAATTCTTCTAGGGAGAAGAAAGCATTAAAAAGGACTAATGCAGTGATTGTTATGACCAAAATAAGCATTGTTAGTTCGAGGTCAGGTCCTCCGGGCTCGCACGTTGACGTGATTCAGGCTCTTTCTTTCTTCACTGAACGTGTGGTAAGTGTTTTCATGGGTTAAGTGAACATAACATGATTCACACCTAGGGTGTCAGGAAGGAGGTCGTGCCCCAAAGTCTAGGATTTAAAAAACAAAAAAGATCCCCAATCTCTGTATCCATGTGTGTAGTTACTGATCCCATAAACTTATTATTTTCTTGATATTTTAAAAATTTCTTAAATGGACCAAGTGGCTTTTTTCTTTGTCTTAAACTTGTGATTTTCTTTTTTTTTGGTGAAAGACAAAGGAAATTAGCCTGTAGGGACCATGTAAGAAGTTTGCTGATTGCTACTGGAAATGCTTCTTCTATTAGGCTGCATAATGGTCCCCAAAGATAGCAGGTCTTAATTCCTGCAACCTTAGGTGTCTCTCTGGCAAAAGAGTAGGGCACAAGATGTGACTAATCGAGCACCTTGAGATGGGGAGATGGGCCTGCACACTCTGAGTGGGCGCTAAACGCAGTATCCTTAGAAGAGGGAGCTACGGAGGAGGAGAAGGCAGTGTGACCACGGACACGGGCACTGGGGCGATGCTGCCAAGGATGCCAGCAGCCATCAGGAGCTAGAGGAGGCAAGAAGCAGTTCTTCCCTAGAGCCTCTGGAGGGAGCGGAGCACGGCCCTGCCGATGCCCTGATCTTGGCCCAGGGAAGCTGGTTTCAGACATCTGGCCTCCAGAACTCAGAATGGATGTCTGTTGCTCTAAACCACCAAGTTTGGGGTAATCTGTTAGCGGCCATGGGAAACAAATGCGCTTCCACTGTGCCCAAGTCACGGTCCAACTCACGTATAATTTTTCACACCAGATGTTAATTATATTGGGAATTCCTTTTGTTCAGACTCAGTTGGTAGCACGTTGAGCACTTCTCAGTCCGGAATGTTACAGTGTTCCGCTGAGGGAAGAGGAGAGAGGGCACAGAGAGCGGGTTCTTGGGGAGGAACAACCACAACAGCGTAGTGAGGTGTGATGAGAGCTGGCCAGTCCACCTGCTCGTCCGCGCTGCCCAGGTTCCTTTGACGTGCCAGGCAAGGTTCTGTTGTTGCAGGTACATAATTAAACCATTGGACGGCTTCCCTCTCTGGGCAGATTTGCATTCTAGTGAAGGAAGACGGACAAGCAAGTAAATATGCCATGGTGGTGGTGGTAAATACCAAGGAGGGCAGTAAAACAGGAAAATGGGGAAAGGGGATCGGGGCAGGTGCCGTTTAATATAGGGCAGTCCAGGGAAGGCATCTCTCATAACTAACGTCATCTGGCCAGAGATCTGGAGGGCGGACACCATGCAGCTCTGGGGGAAGGGGGTGTCAGCACAGGGAGCAGCCAGGAAAAATTCCTGAAGCAGGATTGTGATGGGTGAGTGTTTGTGGAGCAGAAAGGGAGCCAGTACTGCCAGAGCAGGCGGAGCAGGTGTGAAGGAGAGGGCTGGACGAGGAGGAGGGGGATGGAGGGAGGTAGAGAGGGGTGTCGTGGTGGAGTAGGTCTTGTAGGGGCTCACAGGGCTTTGTGAAATCGTTGGCTTTGATTCGGGTGAGATGGGAAGCCCGCAGAGGGTTTCGAGCTGTGGAGTTAGTCAAATGACCTAACTTGGATTTTGAAAGGATCACTCTGGCTGCTATGTGGAGCTCAGCAGCTGAGGGGCAGGAAACAGGGGAGGCTGGTCAGTGCCTGCTACAGTAACGTTAGATATACAGGTCACAGCGTCTTGGCTCAGCCCGGTGCAGCTGGTGAGGACTGGCTGGGTTCTGAATTTATTTTGCCAGTTGACCCCACGGTACTTGCTGATGATGGGATGTGGGATGTAAGAAAAAGAAAGATGCCCAGGGCAGCTTTGTTTTCACCTGAGCCACTGAAAAACGGAGCTGCCTTCTACTGAAATGGGAAAGGCTGCTGATGGAGATGGTCCAAGGAGAAAGGGCACAGGTGGTTTGGTATGTGTGCACTTGAGCTCCTGTTAGACACGGAGGGGAGGAGCTGGGGAGACAGCTGGACGAAGCACATGAGAGTTTGCAGACAAGAACGAAACTGTCGACGTGAAGGATCCTGAAATCATCCATCTGCTCTCACGCGGCACGTGAGTGGAGGGTGGTCCTTCACCCCACCCAGCGGCAGGGGCTCCCAGCCGTCTGTGAGGCAGGTCCTGGGATGAGCGCTCAGACTGCAGTGCTGAGCGGGGTACAACAGGCCATAACCCGGCTGCCAGGAGTGTCACTTGTCCTCATCTTGAGAGAGGCTGTGGCATGGCCAGAGACCCCATCAGGCCTCCAGCTTTGTGGCCCTGGGCAGCCCTCAGAGCCTCTAGATCAGGGTGAATGGCATCACCTTTCAGGGCTGTCGGAGGATTAGAAGAGGCCTGGGTTGTCCTCAAGTTCTGTCACCATCTCTCAGATCTCTGCACTTCTCCCCAGAGTCAGGTCCCCCCGGCTCTAGTTTTGCCCCCACCTTAATTCTGTGCAGCCAGGATGCTCTTTCCAGAGTGCAGAGCAGATGATGTCAGTCCCCTCTTTAAACCCCTCCAGGGATCCTCATTGCTCATAGGGTGACATCCTCCTTCTTGACCTGGCTTCCAAGCTTCTGCATGATCCCCCACCACCACCGCCCTGTGTCCCTCTCCAGCTGCAACTCTGCCCCCTCCTTCCCCCACACACTCTGCTTCTGTCTGAGTACCTTGCAGTTGAGAGCCCCATGTGGTCCAGTGGCCCTTTTGCACCTGTCCTGTATCTCCTACTTTAACTTACACGACACTTCTTCCAGGAAGCCTTCCATCCCTGCTGCAGATGCCCCTGCTGTATACTTCTGCACTTCCCCATCGCACTTGAGGAGAATGCCTTGTAAATTGTGTCTCCCCAACTGGCCCATCATCTTCCTAAGCACAGAGCTGTATTCTGTTTTACAAAGCCCATAACTCAAGACTGGTGCCCAGTAGTTGCTCAAAAGTGCTAAGTAATATTGCAATTTTTTTTAATTGTTATTCTCCTTCAGACCCTTTGAAAGCCTGCCCTTTGTGTGCCTTGATCAGCACATTAAAACAGTCATCCGTCTGGCATGTGGGCGGGCCCGTTAAACAGTTTAGTAGTTTCCCTAGTAAGTGTGGCTAGATGAGTAGATAACTTACAGGATTGGAAGTATTGAAAGGAGAAAGGAAACTGGGGACGTGGACAGGAGACTGCCCGAGGTGATGGGCAGGAAACAAATGCCAGGAAGCAGTCAAAAGAGAAGACAGCTTATACCTCCACAGCACTGGGTTCAAGTCCTGTGTCAGAGGTATGGTTGGCCCTCCGTATCCCTGGGCTCATGGATCCATGGGTTCAACCCACTGCAAGATTGAGCATACTCAGAAAAAAAAAGTTCCAGAAAGTTCCGAAAAGCAAAACTTGAATTAGCTGTGCACTGGCAACTATTTACACAGCACCTCCACTGTATGCGGTGTTATAACTAGTCTAGAGGTGATTGGAAGTGCACTGGAGGATGTGCGGAGGTTATATGCAAATACGGTGGCATTTTATGTAAGGGACTTGAGCATCCGTGGGTTTGGGTGTCCGTGAGGGTTCTGGAACCAGTCCCCCGGACACCGGGGGTGACGGTGCTGTCCTGTAGTCACCGCATTTCTGGACAGCAGCTTGGACGTGTGTATAAAACAAGCAAAACCATACCTTGTGAAAACGTGCATCCCCATTGGTCTGCCACTCCTCTTTCAGGAATTCATGCCAAGGAAACTGAAGTCCAGAAGTCTTACACACGAGTGTGCTGTTCCCACTATTGCTTGTATTAGAGATAGAAGCAAAAAATCTAACGTCCACAAGAGGATTTAGTAAATAAGTTTTAGTACATTCATGTAATGAAATACTGTAAGGACTTTAAAGAATTATGTAAGAATATTTAGGTAATGTATTATAGTATCTGTAGTATTGTTAGGTTAATAAAAACAGCCTCACCCCCAAAAAGGATTGTTAGTAGTGTTCGCTTTGTTTCGGGGAAACCAATATTAGTTGTTTTTTCCCTTTGGGTTTGTCAGTATTTTAGAATTTCTCTTATCTTAACTATACTTAGGGTTGCAGTTGTGAAATAACACATTCAGTACGATCTTACAAGCAAGATGGAAAAAAAACCAACTTGATCCCTGGTGAAAATTGTATAGGATCAGAACTTAACTTGAGGTTCAGTCTTTCCTGGATGGCTGAGCATTTGTGAATTTCTTCTTATTTCTCAATACAAAATAGACTATGCTTACTTTACAGAGTACAGCAGAGGGGGAGGAGATAGCTCAGTGGTAGAGTGCCTGCTTAGCATACACAAGGTCCTGGGTTCAATCCCCAGTGCCTCCACTTAAAAAATAAGTAAAAAAAAAAAGAAAAGTACGGAAGAGAAAGTAGAAAGTATTCATAGTCATTGCCCTACAACAACCATTGTTAACACACACGTGTTGTATGAGTGATAAATACATGTATGTGTATATATTTATCTGTGTGTATAATGTGATAAATTACATATAATTTGTTGTGTACATATAATTAAAAACGGGGCTGGCAAACTTCTTCTGTAAAGGGCTGGCAGTAAATATTTTAAACTTTGCATGCTATGTACCATTTCTGCTGAATCTATGTATCTATCTATCTTTCTTTCTTTCTTTTAATTTCTGTTTTTGTTTTTCCCTCCCTCCCTTCCTTCCTTTCTTCTTCCTTTTCATCCTTTCAAGCCCTTAAATATACAAAAAGTATTTTTAGCTTACAGGCCATAAAAACACAGACCAAGAGCTGGACTGTAGTTTGCCAACCTTGATTTAAATTGTATAATATATTGATTTTAATATACTCGAGAGAAGAGGAGCATGTGCCACTTTTGCAAAGTATTATTTAGCAGCAGTGACATAATCAATAATGCATCATCAGAAAGAGAAGACCTAATGTGAATGTTGCCCAGATTGGCCGCCGGGCATCTGGCTTTGTGCTTCCACTGGAGCTGTATTTGGATGATGGGGAAGTAATCTTCAAGTCGGGTTGCAGCGAACGGTTCATTGGAAAGATGTTAAAGCCAAATTATAGTTTCCTTTCTTTCTTTGCCTTCGAGTAAGACTTTGTTGAGGAGTCATGTCAGAGGATGTAAGCGTGGCTGCTGTATGTCATTGAAATTAATTTCTATCGTTGAAGTCATAGGGTAGATTGCATGCCCTCTGCTTCAGTGCTATGTGGCGAATTTAACAAAAGTATCAGACAGTGGATGAAATGTCCTGAAGAGTTTTCCATCAAATGAGTGAAATAACCCGTGGATTTCTTTTCTAGATTTGCTCGGTGAAGGAACGGCACGCCAGTGAGATGAGGGACTTGCCAAGTCGATACGTTGAAATAGGTAAGCCTTCTGTGGTGTCAGCCTACAGAGGGAATGCACGTCATTGGGGGCGACCTAATGCCATGGCTCATCACTTGGTACCTTGATGAACTAGATCGAGAAGCTTTTGCTTTCAGTTCTGAAACTTTGCTGTGATGGTTCTTTTTTTCAAACGATATGTCTCCTTTTTAGGCAGTTAGACAATAATAATTTTGAAGTTGGCTTGGAAGTCACAGAACCTTGGCTTTGGGTTGTGGTTCTGTTATTTACCACCTGGACTTTGGACAGGTTTCCGCACGCCTCAGTATCCTCACCTGTAAAATGCAGAAAAGAATATCTACCCCACAGGTGTTCGTGAGGATTCCTAGGGTTCACGTGCAGAGCACGGTACTCACACCTGGTCCTGTCAACCTGTGCCTTCCAAATATTTATTTCCCTCATCACTGGTCTGGTCCAGGCTGCCGTAATCTTTCTGCAGCTGCTCCCTAATTGGTTGATCTCTTTCCACTGTGAATTACTGTAGAGTCTCCCCACTGCAGACAGGATACAAGGCAGATCGAGTCACCACCCTTCAGTCCTATCCCACTGGTCTCAGGATAAAGATGTGTCTCCGTAACGTGACCACAGGGATCTGCGTTGGCGCTCACCTGCCTTTCCAGCTTCAGCTGATGACAAGCTTCTCTTCAGTCTCTTGAGCTCCTGCCACACTGGCCTCCTCCACGTGGCATGCTTTCTCTCTCTCTAGAATGTTCTTCGTGCCTCTCTTCACTTCCTCGACCACTGAGCATCTTTAATCATGCCTCAGCTCGTGTTGTTTCCCTGGGAAGGCCCACTGGCCTCCCTGAGCTTGTCGGATCCTCCCACGTTAGGCCTGCAGAACACCCGCCTTTCTAGCGCTGGCCGAGGTGTGCATGCCTCCTCTTCCTAGCTCTTGTTTCAGTTGTAGTGAACGTGTGATTCTTCAGTGCGTTTCTGTCTTTTCTGTCAGACTATAACCTCCTTGAGATCACACACTGGATCTTTTTGTTTTGTCTCTTGGTTTTTTAAAAACATTTTTCATTGAAGTATAGTTGATCTACAATATTGTGTTAGTTCTGGGTGTGTAGCAAAGTGACTCAGTTATATATATATTTTTTTATTCTTTTCCATTATACGTTATTATAAAATATTGAATGTAGCTCTGTGTGCTTGTTTATCTATTTTATGTACAGTCATGTGTGTCTGTTAATCCCATTCTCCTAATTTATTCCTCTCCCTGCTTCTCCTTTGGTAATCATAGTTTGTTTTCTACGTCTGTGAGTCTGTTTCTGTTTTGTAAATAAGTTCACTTGTGCTGTTTTTTAGATTCCACATACGACTGATATCATGTGATATTTGTCTTTCTCTGTCTGGCTTACCTCACTTAGTATGACGATCTCCAGGTCCATCCATGTTGTTGCAAATGGCTTTATTTCATTCTTTTTTTATTGCTGAGTAGTATTCCATTGTGTCTTCTTTATCCAGTCATCAGTTGATGGACACCCAGGTTGCTTCCATGTCTTGGCTATTGTAAATAGTGCTGCTATGAATATTGGGGTACATGTTATCTTTTTGAATTAGCGTTTTCATCTTTTCCACATACATGCCCAGGAGTGGGATTTCTGGATCATATGGTAACTGTATTTTTGTTTTTTTAAGGAACCTCTGTGTTCTCCATAATGGCTGCACCAAACTACATTCCCGCCAACAGTGTTGTAGGGCTCCCCCTTTTCTCCAGAATGTATCATTTGTAGGCTTTCTGATGATGGCCATTCTGACCAACGTGAGGTGATACCTCATTGTAGTTTTGATTTACATCTCTCTAATAATTAGTGACATTGAACATCTTTCCATGTGCCTGTTGGCCATCTGGATGTCTTCTTTAGAGTAATGTATATATAGGTCTTCTGTCCATTTTTTCATTGGGTTGTTTGCTTTTTTGATACTGATTTGTGTGAGCTGTTTGTATATTTTGGAAGTTAAGCCCTTGTCGGTCACATCATATGCAGATGTTTTCTCCAAGTCTGTGGGTTGTCCCTTCATTGTTTATAGGTTGCTGTGCAAAAGGTTGTAAGTTTGATTAGGTCCCGTTTATTTATTTTTGCTTTTATTTCTTTTGTCTTGGGAGACTGATCTAAGAAAATATTGCTGCAGTTTATGTCAGAAGAAGTTTTGCCTATGTTCTCATCTGTGATTTTTATGGTGTTCTGTCTTATGTTTAAGTCTAAGCATTTTGAGTTTACTTTCGTGTATGGAGTAAGGGAGTGTTCTGACTTCATCGATTTACATGTAGCTGTCCAGCTTTTCCAAAACTAGTTGCCAAAGAGACTGTCTTTTCTCCCTTGTATACTTTTGCCTCTTTTGTCAAAGGTTAATTGACTGTAGATGTGTGGGTTTATTTCTGGGCTCTATTTTGTTCCATTGATCCATGTTTGTTTTCGTGTCAGTACCATACTGGTTTGATTATCATAGCTCTGCAGTATTGTCTGAAGTCTGGGAAGGTTATTTCTCCAACTTTGTTCTTTTTCCATGGAATTTCTTTGGCATCAGGGTTTTTTTTTGTGACACTGGGTCTGTTTTTGCTCCGTGTTTTTATCTCAAGGATCTGGCACAATACCTAGCACAGAGTAAGTGCTAAATAATATTGTGTTGAGTGAATCAGTGACTCTGGGAAACAACTGTTCAGGAAAAGTTTGCCAAGAATGTTTTGCCACTATTTTCTAACTTAGTTTTATGACCTGGTGCAAAAGCTGTTCAGACAGAAAGGATAAAAAATTGACTGACCTTTGTCAATTAAACAGACATAGTGAAAGCTCTTTTTGTATTATTTAGAACGGAGCAACAGGAGACAGAGTTTTGTGGCAAAATAAAGTTTGCTATATTATAAATCAGCTGAAAAGTTTATTTACCCATCTGGATGGCAGATAGGGAATATAAATTTGATAGCTTGTTATAACAAGGTGAAGCTGAGATCAATCATTTGCACATGACTGTATTTCTATAAACAGAAAGAATTACCCACCAGGCTAATATGGTTATAGTGTTGAAATCTGAGCTGTTTTATGCTTAAAGTGAGAAGTCGGTGGTAGGATTTTAATAATTTTTTTTGCCTTAGAAGGATAAATAAATACATACATTAATAGTTCAGATTGCATGGACTATGGGCAAAATTGGTATATGCAGGATATAATGGTACTGAGAAAAGTGAAGAACAAGATATTAAGACTGAGAACTGGGAGATAAAGATGAGAATTTGAGTATTTCTCTTTTCTTTTCTGCCTCTCCCTTGCCTGCCAGAAAAAAAACAAAACCAAACCATGAATATCTCTTCAGGTATTTTCCAGTAGGCCATAAAAAAGAATAAAGTCATGCCATTTGCAGCAACATGGATGGCCCTGGAGATTGCGATACTAAGTGAAGGAGGTCAGAGAGAGAAGGAAAAATACCATGTGATATCACTTATGTGTGATCTAAAAAAT